CACAATATATTATTGATGACAAGCAAGAGAAGATTGACTATAGGTTTATACTAAACACAATATATTATAGATGGCAAGGAAGAGAAGATTGACTATATGTTTATACTAAATACAAGATATTATTGATGGGGAAGAAAAGTTTAGTTTAGTTTGAATTTCGCACAAAGCTATGTGAGAGCTATCTGCGCTAGCCGTCCCTAATTTAGCAGTGATAGACTGGAGGGAAGATAGCTAGTCAACACCATCTGCCGCCAACTCTTGGGTTACTCTTTTACGAACAAATAGTGGGATTGACTGTCACACTATAACGACCCCCACGGCGGAAAGGGCGAGCATTTTCTGTGATATAGATTCGAACCCTCAACCCTCAAATTGCAAGTCAAGCGCCTTAACTACACAATGGGCTATCTGTGCTCTGTCCACCACGAGTATCGAAACCCGGTTTCTAGCGTTGTAAGTCCGCAGACATATCGCTGTGCTACTGTGAGGGGGGGGGGGCGATTGACTATAGAGTTACACTAAATAAAAGAGAGTATTGATGGGAAGGAAGAGAAGGTTGACTTTAGAGCTATAACTGCTGAGGCACAAACCACTAACTGACCCTTTTATGAAGAACACATGTGCATAACCAAACCCCATAAAAGCAGTACCGTAAACATAACAGAAATTAATTGCATATGTCTCAAGTAGAGGCAATAACATTCACAAGTTTAGGTGCTCAATGTTCTATAAGACCGATAGAGGGACTCGGGTTGATTATAATTCAGGCATGTAATACAGCAATAATCACAAACATTTAGTTACTTCTCTATTCAACGAAGCTAATCAAATCCACAATCTTACTTCATTCATGAAAAATAAGGTATTTATTATGGCAATTGACCATCATAATAATTATGTAGAACTATTAAAATAAGTTTATAAGGTTATGAATAAATTTTCGATTAATAACTATAAAATAAGCAAATGATATGCTGTTATTGCATAATCTTTCAACCTATAATTGGACAAAGCAATATTCACATATATAAAATCGAATAACAGTTTACTCACTAAAAAAGAACATTAATATTAACATAATATGCAAAATTGAAAAAAAAACAAAACAAAAAAACATGTTATATTTAAGTCATGAAAAAATAGTTGGTTTTGTTTGTTTGTTATCAAGCATAAAAGTAAGCAATGGACTGCCTGTGCGGTGCCCCACACAAGTATCGAAACCAGATTTTTAGGGTCATGAGCCAAATGATTTACGATGAGCCACTGGGGTAGAAATTATTGTTCAAGTTTATATTCTTTACTTTTAAAGTTTTTTTTTCAGTAAAGTCGTTACTTTAAAAAATAAAAATGAATTTTCTTAAATTTTCAGTACTAATTTGTAAGTCTCCATGATTCAAGATACGCTAGTGTTTCGCGTTTAGTTGTCAGAAATTCGAATTAACTGTAAAATATTTGTTGCTACATTTACGAGCTTGTGTGGCTTCTATACGCATTATTGCAAGTCAACCTTAGATAATGACAAACATTTAAGCTTCATTTTAGTTTAACATGAGCCACTTAAATTTTAATGTTATATTCAATATGAGGAGACTAAAATGGCTTCTATGTTAAAAGTATAATTCTTTGGCTCTAATAAACCATTTATGTTTATAACTGTATAAAGAAAGTGACATAAACAAAGTATATACGAACAGTTTAAAGGTCAAAACTTCAAATCTAACAATCGTGTGTAAAGGGAGTTAACATTATATATATACGGGTATCTAATGGAGAGTGTTGTACTTTGAAACTGGGTGTTCGAAATATAACAGAAAAATTTTGTAAATATTTGTTTTGATAATAACGTTAAAATAAAGCATATATGTATATGTACATATACATATTAACATTTCTATTGGCTCAATGTATATTTTGATTTTTAGGAATAGATTTAACCAATCCACAACGAAAAACCTAACGAAGAAAGACCTAAAACTCATTCGAGGCATGCTCTGGCTCGAAAAAAAAAACCGCTTATAATCTCACCTTTGACCTCACAGACATATAAAGTGATCCATTTTCATAACACGTGGGTGTCAATCCGTACATAGCGTTTTACCTAATGACATCATTCATCCTCTAATTATCTATCGAACGAGACCTCAACTTTAAGGTTTGTCTTTTTGACTTCAAATCAGTCTGACCTTAGACCTTACAGGCACCTAATCTATTTTCATAACACTTGGATGTCACTCCGTTATCTAATAGCTTGATTAACCCTCTAATAAACATAAATAACCGCAACTGAACTTTTTGATTCCAAACGAGCCTCAAAGGCGAGTCACGTGGTAATCTTACACTTTCTATTTTCGAGTTATTCCGAAGTAATGTGTGATTTTTTTTTCTCTCGAAAGTAATTTTTATTTGACAGATGTAAAGAAAAATTAACGTGATATCACAGTTCTGATGAGCTAGTGATAGCGCATAAAACTAGCGTAACAAGTACGGTCAAAAGTTCTTGAAGTTATTCTGTTTAAATAAAATAAAATGTGTGAATGGAAGGTACGTAAATTTCCCGCTGAAACTTTATTTTTCTCCTGGTTCTGACTTAGTGAATCATTATTACTTACCGATTTTGCAGTTGTAACTTTCTATATTTCCGAAAAAAAAAACATGTATCAATTATAACTAATAATAAATTAGCATATTCTCGTCATTTTCTATACTTACTTAGGCTGATATGCGTTCTGTCTCTCTGGCGTCTGTTTTTAAACCAGTTGCTAACCTGGGTTAGGGTTAGACCGGTTTTTTTTGCCAATAATCGTTTTTCATCAGGTGTGGGGTAACGGTTCTTTTCGTAGCAGTCTTTCAGCATCATTCGGGACTTTTCCTTAAAACAGTAGATAGTTTCTTCTCCGTCCCAAATGGTTTTGGGCAGCGGATACTTTCGTCGTAGACGGTATTTGTCCACTGCTCCCAGCGGCCGGCCGCGGATTTTCTCAGCCTCCCGGTAGTGAGCTTTATACCACATCTGTTGGAGCTTCGAGTGATGTTGGGGATCGAAACCATGACTTTCAAGGATCGTGTAGAGTTCTTTGTAATTGCCATGGTGAAATGCTATGGTTGCTCGTGCTCGGAGGACCGACTCCTTACAGCGTAGGTGCTCGCTAGATGGGAGTGAACTCAAGAAACGGGCTAGCCGATCATTGTCTCCGGCCTGCTGCAGGACGTCACATACGCAAGCCACTTGATCTGGAGAGAATATCCAGCTTTTGGCGGACAGCATTCTAGCCAGTTTTTGGTTGTCCACCACAATCGGAGGGTCGGTTAACATATCTTGAGCGGACACCACTTCTTCCATCCCAGTTAATTTATCACCAACAGATGAGTCTGTGGACAGGTCTTGTGTCTCGAGGCTAGAGGTGTCACGTGCACAATAGTCGTCCAAAAGTACATCCTCGGGCGTTACGAGACGTCTCTGTTCGTGCACGTTAGTACAAGAGGAAGTACTATAGGGTATCAAAGATAGGAGCTCACGGCAGGAGCTTTCGAAGTTGAGTGGGTGTGGAGTCAAAACTGAAGTCATAGTATTACACTCTTTATCACTATTCACGTCTCAAGAGTACCAGCTAAATTAATAGACTATCTTCCAGCACTCGAGGACGCCCCCTTTTAACTGGGACTCCATACCTAACCTTGACGACTTGCGCGGAGCATTTCATTCGACGCGATGTGCGTATGTGATTGGTCAGTTTCTATCCTTACGGCGCAGAAGCTCCTGCTGAACCTGTCTAGTAACGATCGTTATGAGAAAAGATCAAATCTGTCTATCTACAAATGATATGCCCGAAGTACCTTCATTAAACTAAGAAGCTATTTATATTACCACAGTGATCACTAACCGGAACCCTAATTCCAGAAGAAAGAACTAATTAAGTGAAAATTAAAGAATGAATGTTGTACTAAGTTACTGAAAATCTACGAAAACTCCAGGACGTTTCAATTTTAGTGAGAAAGTTTGTTATATTTCTCATCTCTCTCTACGCTAACCACTGTACATATCTAAGAGGTTTTTTTCCCCTAAGCGATTCAAAATCAAAATATGAGCACGTCATCGATAACACGTTATTTTAAAATAATATAATTTTTTAAAAATGTATGTTTTCTGTAGATGCATTTAGATATATAGTACTCAACAGTAACTACGTAATCGTATCGTTGCTAAAATGTTTAATACTATTTTATATACATAACAGTATATTCAATATTATCACGCATTATCTATGTGACTATCATGTGAATATGTCTATTATCATTAGCTAATAAATGTCACTTTAATGTTTTGTTTATATGCTGTGCAACATATTGTCTAGGATACTACTTAACAGTGCCCCCCAGTGGCACAGCGGTATGTCTGCGGACTTACAACGCTAGAAACCGGGTTTTGATACCTGTTGTGGGCAGAGCACAGATAACCCATTGTGTAGCTTTATGCTTAATTACAAAAAAAACAAACTACTTAACAAACTTCATATATTATCACCTATAATTTTTTAATGTTATCTTGACATCTAGTATTACCCTTGATAACCTATTGCATCTTCCGTGTCAGTCGCCAAACGTTTTTCATTAGGGGGGCACCATTAATTTGTGACCTATATTTTCTTTAGAACGTTTCCTGTTGAATCACCTTATGTGGTGACACAGTATTTCGCTTTGAATTTGTGACGCTCCATTTCATTTTGAAGGTCATCTAACAAACTCGGTTTGGTATCATGAACCACAATAGTGGTTCATAATTGGAATCGCCCAGGAATTTCAAAAAGCAGGCTTATTCTTGAAACAACACTCAAGACCTTCTATCTCAATGGCTAAGGCTGCTAAAATATTTATAATAGCAAAAAAGTCGATTTTTCGATTGTTGGACAAAATTCATCCATTTGTTCTTCATATTGTTTTTATTATTATTCATATTATTCTTGTTTCACGAGCCTACAGAAAAAACGGCTATGAATATTTTATTCAAACCTGGACAAACCTACTAAAAAACTCATACGCATGTCATAGGATTATTTCTATGTCGATTGTTGAAAGAGAAGGAGAGGCTTTATCAGTTTTTCATCGCTACTGGCCAAGTTTCTCTTCGAAGCCATTCAAGCACCAAAGCCTACAGCAAAAACGGTATACTGTGCAAAAATCTATGTACAGCTACTTAACAAACTCCTGCGAAGGTTGTAGGGCTATTTTAAAGCTGATTCTTGAAAGTCGAAATTTCCACCCTCTAAAATTTCTAAGTTCTTCTTCACTACCAACATAAGCTCTTCGAAGCCACTTTAGCATCGCAAGAATGTAGAAGCCATTTAAGCACCATTATATTAGTCGGAAAAGCTTTGTTTTATTAGCGTAAACAATGTGTATACTTATAACAGTGTCTGTGTCTCCAGCCTTATTATTATTGATTATAGTTTTACAAGCCGCTATAGAAAAAATGGCTACGAATATTTTACTGAAACCTGGACATTAGTAATGAATGCACTATTGAGTATGTCATAGGATAGTTTTAACATTAATTCAAGCGCCTTTGTTTTTTTGGGCCTGAATACTTTTTCTAAGTCCTTCACTTTGAAAAAAATCCGGTGTTTTTCTAATGTCCATTAATTGGAAAATAATTTGTGCAACTTATAGCGCATTAACTGGAAACTGCCACGTTGAGGGTTCATAATTTCTCGCGTTTGCTATTTTTCATTGTTTCACGAGTTCACGTGGTTTTCTAATAGACGATTACCATAGTAGATTTCTCTACTCTTGTAAATGGTGATTTATTCTATTGATTTTCGTACTGCCCTAAATTTTTGAGTCCGTATATTAGTATTATTTTTATTATTATTATTAACATTTTTGTTTTACAAGCCTATAGTAAAATCGGCTGGGTATTTTGCACCAAAACCTAAACAGATATATGATATGAAACGCTGCAAATGTCTACAACCTATCTAAAAAGTTGATTAATTTTCATTGAAAGTTGATTTACATGACTATAAAGACATAATATATGCAATGTTGTCGTGAGCGGCTTCCTTTGTACCAGACGATTGTTAAATGCGTATTTACACGAAACCTCAGGCAAAAAACCACATGGCTCAGTAAATAATGGTTGGGTGAAAAAAAAAAGCCAATGTAGCGGTAAACTGTTGAAAATCGTATATTCACATATTCACGTATGTAGCTTAAAGTTCATTCTTCATAAATGGACATAAGACTTAAGAAACATTAAAAAAAATTAATCTGAAAAAGGAATAGGGATCATCAAATACAAATACAAGTTGAATCAAGATTATATTTTAAGACCTACAGTTAGGGACTCTTAAAAAAGTAAACTCTACTAAAATTTATAGGTACTTTAAACGTGGAGTCAAAATAGAGATGTGCAGCTTGAGAAAATAATGTACACATTATTTCCAGCCTAGTTTGTTTACTTTTTTAATAGTTCCTAGTTGTAGGTCTTAAAATATGATCTTTGCATTTTGATTCAACTTCTCTCTGTACTTTTTTGACGATCCCTATTCCCATTTTTAAATGTGTAAATTTTAATTACCTTGTATAGCTGACGCATCATTTCATCTGAAAACTGCTTAGCAAACCTAATTTAATAAGTAGTGCAAAACTCCGTATTGAAAACTACTTAACTAACTTGGTTTAATATCTAACGCGCCATTTCACCTTGCAGGCCATCAAACTTATCTTAGCAGTGATACACTATTTCATCTTGAAAGCCACCAAACTTACTTTAGCAGTGATACACTATTTCATCTTGAAAGCCACCAAACTTATCTTAGCAGTGATACACTATTTCATCTTGAAAGCCACCAAAGTTATCTTAGCAGTGACACACTATTTCATCTTGAAAGCCACCAAACTTATCTTAGCAGTGATACACTATTTCATCTTGAAAGCCACCAAACTTATCTTAGCAGTGATACACTATTTCATCTTGAAAGCCACCAAACTTATCTTAGCAGTGATATACTATTTCATCTTGAAAGCCACCAAACTTATCTTAGAAAGACTAAAAGAGAATCAGATAAGTGAAAAAAAAAATAGTTGAAATAAGCTGATTGAATATTTCATTTATTTTAGTGACCAGATCACTCCAAAATAAAATAAATTAAGTTCGTTTAATAGACAATGCATTTCAGTTTTATCACCTACTAACAGTCATTTAGTACCCGTTTAATTAACTAGTTAGACTAACAAATTCCACTTAAAAACTATGTGCCGGGCATGGCCTTGTGGCTAAACGAAGGTCCAAGGATCGAACTGAGATATACGGCTGAATGAAGGTCCAAGGGTCGAACTGAGATATACGGCTGAATGAAGGTCCAAGGGTCGAACTGAGATATACGGCTAAACCAAGGTCCAAGGATCGAACTGAGATATACGGCTGAATGAAGGCCCAAGGGTCGAGCTGAACACACTCCGGGTGCTATAACTATGAAAGACAGCCCCGCTATTCGGCTCAGGTGCTACTGACTGGTTGCCTTCCTATTGGTTAGCAGCTATAAACTAGAGGGGCACTCAGAGAGCGCATATCTCCTCCACGCAGCGTTGATCATATTCGACTATCAAAAAATACGAAAGTGTGTCTGTTGTCCGTCATTATCAACGGATACGGACCATTGTTCGTAGAACATTGAGGAATAGTATTCGGCATATGTCCACCAAGTTTCATCAAAATCCGACCATTTTTAACTGAGTTATAGATAAAAAAAATAGTGTGAAAAAATGGGTCCCCATGTTAACAAATAGACATTTTTTGGATTTTCCTGACTTTGATCTTTGACCTTGACCCTCCAAAAACTATTTACTTCTAAGTTGGGTCATAATCCAAATGTATACTAACTGTCGTCCAAATCCATTCAGCCGTTTTCGATAAATATTGCTGACAAACATACAAACAAACACACCCACACATGGGTGAAAACATAACCTCCGTCCACCTTCGATGGCGGAGGTAATTAAGGGTAACTAAGTCTGAAACCTAGGCGCCATTCAGATTGAAAATACTAAACAGACTAACTTATTCTAAAGCTGAACTACTGAAAATAACTCTTCATTAACTAACTACTACACAATATTTAAGTGAAAGAATGAACTTATACACAAATACATATCAATGTTCAAACGAAACAAATATTAAGCCTTCTGGATATCTGGAATTAAATATGTTGTCTACAGAACTACACTGTAACTCAATAGCAATATGAAATATTCAGAAAACAACACTTTGTTCACCCAAATACATTTTACATCAACAGCAACATGAAATGCTCAGGAAACAACCCTTTGTTCACTCAAATACACTTTACATCAACAGCAACATGAAATACTCAGAAAACTGAACTTTACACCATCAAAGACAATGCAACAGTGTTAAAATACCTTTTGATTTTGTGTTGCTTTCTAAAGGCTTGGAATGAATTGATTCCCGCATCTTTGCACTGTTTAAAATAG